TATTTTTAAGCTGTTGCAGTAAAGTATCGAATAAAAAAAAAACGCCGCTATGAGCGATTTTAATCTCGTCTAGATCCTCCATTAGGCACTGTAGTCATCTGTCTACGAGGCTAAATCTTTCCTGTAGCTTCATTACTGCGATGTGTAATACTGTTTCACGTTTTTTTTTCTTTAATGATCGCTTTCCAATTGCGAGGTCAATCTAACAGACTGCTGCGAATGTATAATGAGTAGTCTCGTATTGATTTAATTGTTTTTAATTAAAGATTCCATGTATCATTTCATTTTGATTGTAGCCCTCATTGTAATTATAGTGGCTGTGGGTTGAAGGTTAAATGTTTGTTGTTATCGTGGTTGTCGTCGTTAACACTAACTTTTCTCATGGATATTATTATTTTTGTATGCATAGTAGTCAGGAAAATTTATACCTGAGGTTTTATTGTATGTATTTGATTGCCATGTCTGTCATAGACTAGATGTTGTCTATTATCATCAGTCTTTGAGAAATCTATAATAATACGAATAATAAACTAGTGAATCGGTCCGGAAGGATGTGGGTGTCTTATGTATACTGTAAAATACTTTTTTTTAATTTAACTGTAATTTTTTTCTGCTCAAAATATTTTTCAGCTGCTTCATATGGAATTTATTTTGAATACCAAATGACCCATCTGACTTCCTGCCCAAATTTTTCAGCACTTTTTGCTTACACAAAGACAAAGCTGGAGTCAATTTTCAGTTTTTACTCAAAAAATTTGGCTATTTTTGTCGCAATCTTCTGAAGGAAAGTGCAGACTATAAACGGGACTATTTTGTGAGTTGTAGTGAAACAGTTAAAAAGTCAAGTCTTTATAAACCATCTCAGAAACAAGTTATAATAATGTAGAATACTTTATTTTCACTTGGAATTTATTTTCGCTAAAGGGATGATTCTGTGAAAATAAAATCCAGCGAATATACTTTTTTTCCTATATTTCACATTAAACTCATCAAAAAACAGTGAAAATAAATTCAATACAAAACGTCCAAAAAGTATTCTCAGCGAAAATTAATTCCAGCTAAATTTAAGTATTTTACAGTATATTATTATATGTATGTACATCCATTAATGTATGGATTTGTTTTCTTCCAATATTTTTAAAAATAGATGGTATACATTTTGGTGTGTTATTCTGAATAATATTTTTTTTTGAATACGCACTTCATTATTATCATTTTTGTATATTTTGGAATAAAAAATTTAGAAAGTAATTTAACTAAAGGGAAAACTGGGATATTGTATTGTATTGTATCGTGTTTGTAGAGTACATGACCTTTTGACCTGTAGTAGTTGAAATTTAACATTGTGAACGCCCTCATGGGGACTTTTTACTATATCCTCAATTAAGTTTTGCGAGTGTATTAATTATTCACTCAGTTTTAATTTTGCTATTTTCACTGTAAAGTTAAAATTCGCTAAATTAAATCTACGTGAATATGTAAAATAATAATAAACTCTTTGTTTCCTTAACAAATTTGTGAAATTAAAACACAGAAATATGCTCAAAACATCAAAATAGTGAAATTAAATGTCAGTGAAAATAAATGGTTTTACAGTATTTAAACAACACTATAAATTATTCATTTACTGTTCTAAAATCCTCACACTTTTTGTCGTATGTCAAGTTCTTTTTTTCATCATTCAATTTTTCATATTATTACAATTTTAGTCATAAAATAAATTATTCATTAATTCTATCAAAAATTTTTCACTTTTGGTCAAAATGATGTATCTTATTTTTAAAGGAATATTTTAAATTATTATATTTCCTTTTCTCACCAAAAAAAATATGTTTAGTAAAGTTTTAATAATTTTATATAGTTTTTTGATTGATTTTGGGCAAAATAAATAGAATTCATTATTGCAAAATGATTTTAATCACAAGAACAAAATGTTTTGTATGTGACTGGTCCAATTTGATGTATTGTCGCCTGGAATGAGAGCGCTACTCTATGTAGTGAACGTTTTGAGTCGTTTTTTCACTGTTCCACGTCAATACCAGACTAATGGGCAGAAAATGCAGGTTTACGGAAAGGCAATTTCATTTGACAAGTCAAGAAAATAAAGATAAACCTTAATCTCACTACATTACTTTACCATCAATCAGATTGCACTCCCGAATCCATCGATCATTTCATGAATTATTCATCCAGTATTATCGGCTGACGAATTCTATCACAAATTGTTGGTTTGTGAATAATTTTTGTCGCAAAATTTTGTTTTTTAACATTATTGCAATCCTTGAATATCAATTTCTTTTCATCAAACCAAAATTACAAAATGGCTGTCACCACAAGGCCTGATATTTTTTTTTTAAAATTGTCAGTTTGTGCAATTTTCATTTCAGAATTGACAGATTTATGGTCATAACATGATCATTGAACATTTGTTACTCCAAAATTTATTCAAAACTCTCATTTTGTGGTTTTCATTTAACTATTTTTCGTTTTTCATCAGTGTATTTTTGCTATAAATAGTATCAATTCTGCAGATAATAAATACATTTTTGGAGCTAAAAATGGTTTTTGAGTGATTGATAGAATCCATACACAAATGAATATACTTTCATTACTATGAAAACTAAGTCTGTTGAAAAAATGTTGCTATAGCAACCATCTGTTGGTGAAAATAATCACATTCATCAAAATGTCAATAGAAAATTTATATGTGCTGAAATAATATAAAAAATAAAATGGACAATAATTTGAAGAGAAGGACATGAAAGTGATCGAGATTAAAAAGAATAGTGTTTTCCTCTATTAACTTTGTAAACGAGAAATGTATCTTTTTCAACTGTAGGTGGCACTGTTTAAAAAAAGAAGTTAATTTGTTGTTGATCTATAGAAAATTCCACCCTAAGATATCTTTATTTATAAGCAGCATATGAAGCAGGTTATTTGCAAGTTTCATTAAATGAATAACAAACAAGTTAGGGGTGCTTAAAATTGTTTCCATGGAAACAATAATTTCTCCTGTAGTGTTAAACTTTACTTTGATAGCCATTTGGATTGAGGTTCATGATTCTAAAACTTGTTCGGTTACCCACAATTTTTTTTCTTTGGAACTTAAAAAAGAGAAACCGCAAAGAAACTTTTGCAAAGTTTTTCGAAAATGTCCACACTAAAGTTTGGGGTAGCAGTTTAAATTGTAGTTTTTGTGAGTCGCACTATATATAGGTGGCACGTCCCATTACTGGATTCAGGGGTGAGATGCATATTGAGGCGTAGGTCATTCCATTGTTAAAACGATTAAGATTATGAACTGGAAGTCTGTTATCAAAAATGCTGTGTATTATTACTAAAAATGTGTGCAGTATTATGGGATAGCTGTTGTAAATTACATGTTGATATCAATGTAACAGGATTAGCCGTATTTATAGATTTAACTCTCCCTTCTATCAAGGATTATTAAAATGATTGATTGTACACCTATGTTTGAGATTACAGTAATATACTTAGCTGTATCAAATCATGACAAGCTGCGTCCCCATCTAAAAATGGATTCTCCCGTTTGTAAATTTGTTTAAAGTCAACCCAGCCAGACTTTAACAATTTGTTGCTTAATTCTGAAAAAAATTATCAATTTCGTTTTGTAATTTTTTTTCTCCCATGAAAGTTGATTAATTGTTTTTTTTACCAATTTTGTTTACAACACTGCGTTTAATAGCACTTCTTGGGAGTCACAGATTCCACGAGGGAAGTCAAAGTGACTGGCGAAGATTCGCTTTCTTAAAAAAATATGTGAATTTGGAGGGAAACTTCAAGTTCAAGTCTGTAGGTACGTGTGTGACTGGGCGTGGATGGCAAAATGCACTGTATTTTATGCATTAAATTGCCTTTCTGATAAGAAGATGGTTAGTCACACAGTCCTCTAACATAGTCTTATACATGTACATGGATATGGTTGCTATGGCAATGCATTTAAGTTTGCCAGTACATCATTTAAAGATCTCGCAAAATGTGTTGAAGTCGTGGATGAAATATACAATATGACCTTGTTTATTCTGCTTGTCGCCCCTCAAAATAAAGCTAAAACCGTATGCGTTATGTATGTCAGCAAAAGTTGCCCCTCAAAATAGTCTTTCAGAGGGTCTAGATTTCAAAATTGTTATGGGGGAACATGCCCCCCCAGTAAGGTCGCACCTACAATGCGACGGATGGTGATCAGACCCCTCTCCTCCCCCTCCCCCATGCTAACTTTTGTGCTGCCTCCTCTGATTCTTGTGCATCACGCGGGATCTCGGGGTGAGCAAGAAATGATACATTTGCACATAAGTCAGCAGCAGAGACAACAGCAACATTCAATGTTATAAACTGCTGTCCAACATACTGTGGAATACTGTAGAATACTTTATTTTCGCTTGGAATTTATTTTCGCTATTTTCGCTGAAGGGATGATTCCGTGAAAATAAAATCCAGCGAATATACTTTTTTTCCTATATTTCATATTAAACTCATCAAAAATCAGTGAAAATAAATTATTCTACAGTATAGCAATATTTAATAGAGAACTCATCATTGCCAAGTAGTCACAAACTATCTTTCATCAGCAATGTGTACTAGTACTGCAATAGTACATTTTGTCCACTCACGTCTAAGGAGAAAAAAAACAAATCTTCACTTTTCAATAACACTTTCGAGTGCTTGCATATTGATGAAATGAAAAAATTAACGAGATATTTTGAGATTTTCAAGTACAATTTTTCTACCACAAGTTTGTCATTGAAAATATTGACACTATCGTATGTTTTCTCGGCTGTTTCATGTCTTGTACATCCTCCCTTCATGTTTTTTACAATATATATATACTTGCCAAACAATTCCAAATTTTGGACAAGAAAAATATATTTTTGTTTATATTTAATATATATAATATATAATTGTAAAACTTATAATATAATTTCAAATACTGTTGCTGAATGATAGCTAATTGTTTATTTTATTTTGTATATTTCAGGTACGGACATTATTTGTCAGTGGCCTGCCCATGGACGCCAAACCCAGAGAGCTATACCTTCTATTTAGGGCATACAAGGTAAGAATAAAACATAAATAGAAAAGCTTTAATCTACTTTAAACCAGCTTGATGAAGTTTGATCTAGCTCAAACCAGCTCAGTGCAATTCGATCTGGTTTAAACCAGCTTGATTCAGTTTGATCTGGTTTAAACCAGTTTGATCTTGTTCAAACGAGCTTAACTGAGTATATTCTGGTCAAACCAGCTTGATTCAGTTTGATCTGGTTTAAACCAGCTTGATTGTTTGAACTGGCTCAAACCAGCTCGATTCAGTTTGCTCTAGTTCATTCCAATGCACTTCAGTTTACCACAATTCACATCAGTTTATTAAAGTGAGATCTGAGAATCATGTGACATCCCTTTATATTGCAAGCACACCTTGTATCCTTAATTAAAGTGTACTGATCAAATGATTATTAAAAAATGACTTTATTCATTCTACATTGGCTTGATATTACTAACACATAGATCATGTCAAGGGATTAAGGATTAGTTCACTTTCTGGATTATCTCCACATATTCATTAGGATGTGTATTGTGATTATATTATATGGAACCATTATATTTGAATGACCCAAGTTATGAATGGTGTACTTCTGAATTGTACACTTTTATTTAACATTTTCACCACCAGACATTCTTGCCCCAATTTTTCTGCATTTTTTTTCTTAAATTCTTCCATATTTGTTGAAATGAACCCTAATTTTGGAACCAACAGACAATATTTGAGTCAATTTTTACTCAAAAAATTTGGATATTTTTGCCTCAAAGTTCTGAAAGAGTGTGCAGATTATAAAAGGGACTATTTTGTAAATTTGTGGTGAAAAGAAGGAACTGGTGGTAAAAAGGTTAAAGGCTAACAAGTCTATATGCAAATGATTGATATTTATAGATTCTGCTTCAGGTTTCTATTTTGATTACCTTATTTTTTTCAACACCAAATTTAATTATAATATATGGGTCTTATAAAATTATTGAACAATGTCGCGTAGTCACAAAATCTGTTATTTAGCATTGACTTCATCAATCATACTTATTTTTTTTTTTTTTTTTTGAATTGTGTGATGACAACATTTACATCAGTGATATCATAGTGACATCATAATGATGTCATTAGTGAACAATATGCTATATATTTTAGTTAATATTTTTTTTCAACAATTTTTTTTTTTAATATATGGTCATCATGATTTGAAAAAGAGCGTGAACCACAGGCTTGTTTTTGCCACTCAAATATTGTTCCCTCACTCTCAGTCATCGTATCTCATGTTCCAAATACCAGTTAAAATGATCACAGATGCAATGACAGTAGATGGTGTACAACAATTATTTTGGGGGGGGGGGCAAAAACATTTTCGAGTGGCTTCCTTGCAGCCAGGGAGATCTTGTTGCCAGGGAGATCTTGTTGCCACTTTTCGCTAACAAAGTATCACATTTTACGTAGATATACAAATAACGAAAGAATATAGTAGATTTATTGACAGAATAAATGAAAGTGAGAAAAACATGATAGATGAATCTAATCTGATTTATCATAGATTTATAGTGAAACGAAAAATATGTTGAATAGTAAAAAAAAAGAAAAGCGTATTTAAATTTTGTTAATCTGCAGTAAATGATAATATAAATCTGTGTATGCCTAAAGGAATACATCAAAAGTTGATTAATTCTTAGCTTTGCGGGATTAATTTTGAATTGCCGTAAGCAAATGTAACGATTTCTATTGGTGGAGGCCAAATAATTGTAAATTTAGCCTCTTTTAATACCGCAGAAAAAAATGACAGAAATGTTATTAAATTTCACCCGTAATTAAAAACAAAAATGATTTAATCATAGGGAGTTTTAATAAAGGAAAAAAATGTATTAATAAGTGTAGGTATTACCTGTGGAAGTTGTAAATATTTTTAAATATTGATATTAATTTTAAAGGGCTGTGATTCGCTATCCTTGGGGGCGGACATCCGGGCATTTTCACCGCCTGGCAACCCGCGGCGGTGAAAACAAAGGCCCAAAACTCGCAGAAAACAGTACTTTGGGATGGTTGTTGAGAGTCCCCTGAACAGTGTAACAAGATTAGCCCTACGTGTGTACCATATATGAATTTGGTTGTTCAGGATTACTTCAAAGTTGAGTTTGTGTTGTTTTCTCGAGTTTTCACCGGCTCGACCGGCGTTCCACAGCAGCGCGCACAAAGCCCATAGAAATATGTGGTACAGTGGTGCGCGTCTTAGCAACGTAGAACGTCCGTGACGTAGCTCCGCCCCGGAGGATTGGGAAGTTCTTTTCTATCACCTTATATCCACAAGATTGCTGATTGGATGATGCTACACCAGTAATGTTAGTCATAATTGCTGTCATTGGTGAAGTGACCTTTGGTGAACAGCGCCCTCAAGTAGCCAGATTAGGAAACGTTCCAGCACCGATTAATGAATTTGTGTGTTTATTTTCAGGGATACGAGGGGTCACTTTTAAAGGTGACTGGTAAACAGGGTAAAAATACATCGGTAAGTTGATCATCGTTTATGTGCATTTAAAAACACTATACACGCAGCCCGTGTTTGAATTTTGTGTAAATAAACAATGTATTTTACATGGGTTGTTTACGTCGCTATGAGTCCCATATCGAACAGGACACGGCACGCCGACTGTAGCACTTTAACAGTATATCATGTTATAGAAAACAATTAAGTGGCCTGACCTCTATATAATGACCACCTGTCTATAGTGACTGCTTTTAGACAGTCCCATAAAGGCATAAAGTATGAGCATTCTTCATATGTAGACCACCTGTATATAGTGCCCAAATACCAATAACAATAACCAAATAAAAATAACAATACTTTCGCAGATTCATCTTTGCCCAGAGCCCAATAATATTTAGCCTCCAGTTTATAAAAAAAATTTGTAATTTTCCCCAGCGCCACTATGTGTGTTTATTGTATTTACAATCATGTTAACGCCCTCTTGTGTTCGCTTTACATTTTGCTACGCATGCTCTGTTCTCTCGTTGTGTTTTCCCCGCCATGTTGGTTCTGTTTTCCCGTTGATAAATAAACGGAGTTACTCGCTCGTTAGCGCTCCAACTGAAGTGTCTGGTTGTAGTCCAAGCTCTGTATACAACAGGTCTGTGTCCATACTGGCGCAGTAAAAATTTATTTACTTATTTAATTTTAATTTTGAGCAACTAAAAAAAATGTGCTGTTCTTGCATTAGTACCATCTCATTATCATCTGGAGTTGGAAACCCATGTAAAGAAATCCAACTTCTATTATACCTTGATTTTGTCTATAAAGGCAATTTTAATAAAGCTTGTTGGATGATTTCTATTGACAGGTATCATTTTATAATTGATAGAAATCTGAAATGAGATCCCGCACTTTTTGTGAGTGAAATAATGAAAAATCGAAAGGATGAAAACAACAACAACTAAATGTGAACCATTTGTCATTTGATAAAAAAAGAATTTGTAAGCTTAGGTACTGGGAGAAATTTGCATGCCATGCCATGCCATGCCATGCCTCTACAGGAGTGAAATATTGTCACAATCGGGAAAAATGTACAGACAAGACAATGTGAAAAAAAAAATGCACTGTTCATGCACTTCAAGCCCACCCCCATGATTCCTAATGGTTTACTGTAATTTTCGCTGAACAAATGATTCAGTGAAAATAAAATCCAGTGAATATACCTTTTTTTTATATATTTAACATTCAACTCGTCAAAAATCAGTGAAAATGAAGTCCATACAAAGCATCCAAACTGTTTTTTCAGCAAAAATTAATTTCAGCCAAAAGAAAGTATTTTACCGTACACATTAAATTTTAGCAAGACAATTTGTCATGTGTCATTGTACATGCTGCCTTAACATTAATGGCACATGATCATAACAATTTACATTAAGGAAATTTACAAGACAAGCAAATACATGTAATGTCTTATAAAACCTCATCGCCCGGAAAACAGTTGTACAGTTTTTTTTAGGAAGATCAGTTTTCTTGTGTAAACATCGTTTTGGCATTACTTCATGTGTAACTCAGAAAATCGCCTCACGTGAAACCATCGTAAACGAATGTCAAATTACTGCTTGCCGCATTAAATTTTAACTCGGTAACGTCATCAGAACGCACAACTGTTAGCTCTTCTTTCTTGTTGACATTTTATTTTCGGTGTTTATCCCCAACAAAGCGTAACCGTATCTCCCACACAATGAAAGATAATAACGATTGAAATATGGACCTTCAGCCACAAAGCATGCACAAAACAAGCATTATCGTTATAACGACGGCCGCCTAAAGGCCGAGAACATGAAGACGTGTATACATGATGATAAACTGTACATTAATTGACTCATGATAAGTCATTTTGTTGTTGTTTGGGATTTCTGTTTAAATGTCAAAACTTGTTATTGTGAATATTTTTCCAATCTTTGTGATGAATGTTTCCCTTGATAGCTTGAAGACATTTATAATGATCCCATTTTTGTGGTTTTACTCAGTTCTATTTTAAGGGACAGAACATTTGAATTTTCGAGGGAGATGAATCTTGTTTTAATTTTTTTTTTTCAATTTAAATTTTGTAAGTTATGACTTTCTGATATTTTCCTGAATCAATATTTTTGGAAATGAACTCTAATTTTTGAGCCAACATACAAAATTTGAGTCAATTTTCGGTATTAACGTTAAAAATTTGGCTATTTTTGTCCCAGATTTCTAAAGGAAATTAATTGCAGGCTATAAACGGGACTATTTCATGAATTTGTGATGTAAAGAGGGAACTGGTGCTGAAAAGGTTAAAAATAGTTTGAATTTAACTTCCCTTTATCAGCACCTTTTCAAATTGGGGTTACCTTATTACTGTCCTTAAGTACAAATTATTATTCTAGTATTTTATGTTGCTTACATATTTTCAACAAATGCTAAAATCATAATTTCATTCATATTAATAATGTAATTTGTATTTTGATTGGCTATGGCAAAGATGAACTGCAAGTTCATTGGTGATAGATAGTAATGAGATGATAATAATATGCATATTAAAAGATTGTGATTAGATGTTGAAACCTTTTTTTTTGTAATATTCAAATTTGCATTAATGAGATGCTAATTATATGCATCAGATTGTGATTGGATGTGACAATCATGAGCTCCATAGTGATTGGTTATAATTTTGTTTGCAGCCAGTTGGATTTGTTACATTTGAAACAAGAGTGGGTGCTGAAGCAGCGAAGCAAGCCCTTCAGGTGAGTGTCCCCCTTTTTGCTCTCAAAAATTGTCATAAATTTAGAGAAAGTTAGGTAACATTAGCAACAAAAAAAAGAAAAAAATTGCTTCTTTCCTTGCCATCAAGATTTCTGAATCTGTAGACAGTATTCTACAAATTTAGAAATAGAATGAATTAAAGAAAACTTACAAATATTTGGCGAGAAATTTTAATAGATCAGCAAAAATTTCAGCAAATTAAAACTCTAATTATTAGTTGCAAAAAAAAATAATAACTAAATAATAATAAATATTACCATGAAATTGAATTTCTACATTTTCCACATGCATGTAGCATTTATGCTGAGAATGGTGGCCATTTTGAATATAAACTGGTTTGAACTGGAACCAACCAGAATATTCTGGACAAACCAGTTTGTATTTCAAACTTACTTTTTTCATATGACTAAGTGGAACGAGAATCATTGGTTAAGATTTTTACTAAACAATTTTGAAAAAGAAAACAACAGAGTTGAGTTGTCATTCTTTTTATAAAACGTATTATAATCATTTTTATTGTTTACATATTTAGTTTTATTTTATTAATTCTGCATTAAAAGTGTCCCATCACTTACCTGCTTGTTTGCATGTTCTTTATTAACTCCATGTGTGACCTTGTAATTGAGACATGAACTTTGTACTTTTGCACTTTGCTTGTTATTTTGTCATGGTAACCACTAAATGTATTAACTCGGCTTAATTTACTGTAGTTGTGCTAAAAATCACTTGCTTTACTTTGAGAAACTAGATTTTTCTGCCATGTGGCTTTAAAAATCATCTAATCAAAGCCTTATGGGGGGACAGCATTGTTAACATTTGTCAATTATCAAGATGAAATGTTTTTTTTAATATTGTGAGGCAATGCACCCCTCCTTCCCAAACATGTCATGCATCACATGCACAAAAGCAATTTGCATATCAGTTACAATTTTTTGTGATTGTCCCCCCGACTTGGTCCGGCGAGAATCGTAAAGTTTGTAGTAGTGATGATTTCAGCGCGATCGTAAGACTTGTTGTCTTATTAAATTAAGAATTAGCAAAAAATTTTACATTTTAATTATGTATTTTGAAAAAAATCACTTCAACGCATGTGCACATTCAAATTGGGTTGATACAGGAAGTAGGATAATCACAATGCATTGTGGTATTGACACATGACCTTTCACCCACAGGGAGTACGGTTTGACCCAGATATACCACAGACTTTAAGGCTTGAGTTTGCTAAATCCAACACCAAAGTAAGCAAGCCCAAACAGTCGTCTCCACAGCCGCCCAATTCACACCAAGCACTTGGACCACATTTAACACCAAGAGAGCCTTGTAAGTACATTCACCTTTCCACTTTCACCTTTCACCCCTCCCATGGCCTCAAGGTCACACCCTCATGATGCTTTGGTCATAAATATGCTCACTTTTTTGTGTGCCTAATGTAGCATTTCACCTTTGACCTCATAAAGTTCAAAGTTCTGACTCACTTTTATTAAGACACAAATTTATTAAATCTCACAATAATGTATGAACTTTGACCCACAATGTGTGTCACCCTAATTGTGCCCTGAAGAGTAATTTGAACTTTGACCCACAGTGTGTGTCACCCTAACTGTGATCTAAAGAGTAATTTGAACTTTGACCCAGAATGTGCGTCACCCTATCTGCGCCCTGAAGAGTAGTTTGAACTTTGACCTACGGTATGTGTCACCCTAACTGCGCCCGGAAGAGTATGTCAATGTCCCGTTGTTGATGATCCCTCAAGGTAACAATACTAGTAGTTACTAGTACAATTTGTTGTTGTTGATTTTAGACTTGTATACTAGTAATTCATCCTTCAAAAAAAAAAACTAGGCACTTGTGCCCCAATACATGTGAACCAATAAGCGGTTAATCATTTTAAAATTGGTTGAGTAGGTTTATTCTCATATTAATGAGGTAATTTGCATATCATTAAGCAGGGGTCCTGTTGTGAAGTTTTGTTATCTTTCACAAAGTACTTCTTATTTATTCGTGAATATTAAATAGGTAATTTGCATATTGTTCCTTTCACCACTATTGCCAACTGTTGCCATCTTTCACAAGTAGTTCGCAATTGTCTATGCATATTAATTAGGTAATTTGCATATCATCAACCTATTCACCACCATTATCAATAGTCGTCACCTTCCACATAATAATGTTTCCATATAGGATTCCAACAAAATTGAACATATTGACCAAAATATTTAAAGTGATATTCAAATTTCTCTTTTTGCTTGACAACTAACAAATATAAATTAGTGAAAACTTGAAAATATTTGGTGAAACAAACAAACAAATCTTGCTGTGATCCATAGTGACCTCCTTTTGCACTTTTCAGTATTGATATTGTATCTCTGACTAAAAGTTATCCCTCTTTTTTTACAAATGGTTCATCCCTAATTGTGTTAGTTTTCATCATCCATTCATTTGAAAAATGATAAGCTCATTTAACGAGTGTGACCAGGGAGTATAGACACCCGTAATTGTCAGATTAATCTCGAGTAACGTCTCAATGATTTTGACGTCCTTTGTTGGGCAGCCATTATTGTTGCCCCTAATGGCTTATTGTGATGGTTGCCTTGGAAATCTATTATCGTTGGAGTCAACTAAAATTACAACATTTCCAATAATGGCTGAATTGCACAGTTGAGTTCCAATTTGAGAATTCGTTTTGTAAATTCATTACAAAGGAGATAAGATTATCGAGGAGTTTCTGTATTCCTGTTGCAAGAAGGTGGACATCTATGACAGAATGTAATGTTAGCAAAGCTAGGGAGGTTGAATGACCATTTCTGGCTCTACCCCTAAAACTGAATGGACTCTTCCCATGTCATGCCACCTGGGGAGTACCCCACTCCAACTACATGGTCTCTTCCAAAGTTGAAAGGTCATACCAGATGGGAGTTTGCTAATTATATATTCCCTGTCTATGTATGTAATGTAAACTGCTGTTTTTTAAAGGTTTGCTTTTCTTTTCTTAGATGATTTAGGTGCAGCTTTTTTCCCAGGTGCTCCGGAAGCATGGGTACATCATCCGTAAGTAATAGAACTTTTGCATGTATTAGCATAAATTACTAATATGGTTTACTTTTGCATATATTAGCATAAATTACCATATGGTTTACATGTAGTTGCATAAATTACCATATGACATTGATCAGTATGTATATGTACAAAACTTAGCATGTCACCATTGTTTGTATTTGCATAAATCAGCAGAATTGCATAAATTAGCATATCACAGTGTGCATGTATTTGCATACATTACCATATGGTATGCATGTATTAGCATAAATTACCACATGGTGTGCATGTATTAGCATAAATTACCATATGATGTGCATGTATTAGCATAAATTACCACATGGTGTACATGTATTACTATAAATTACCACATGGTGTACATGTATTACTATAAATTACCATATGGTTTACATGTATTAGCATAAATTACCATATGGTTGGTCTGCACGTATTTTGCATAAATTAGCATATAGTATGCATGTGCTTGCATAAATTAGCATATCACAGTGTGCATGTATTTGCATACATTACCATATGGTATGCATGTATTAGCATAAATTACCACATGGTGTGCATGTATTAGCATAAATTACCATATGATGTGCATGTATTAGCATAAATTACCACATGGTGTACATGTATTACTATAAATTACCACATGGTGTACATGTATTACTATAAATTACCATATGGTTTACATGTATTAGCATAACTTACCATATGGTTGGTCTGCACGTATTTTGCATAAATTAGCATATAGTATGCATGTGCTTGCATAAATTAGCATATAATGTGCATGTATTTGCATAAATTACTATATGGTATGCATGTATTTTTATAAATTACCATATGGTATGCATGTATTTGCATAAATTACCACATGGTGGGTGTGCATGTATTTTTATAAATTACCATATGGTATGCATGTATTTGCATAAATTACCATATGGTATGCATGTATTTTTAAAAATTGCCATATGGTATGCATGTATTTGCATAAATTACCACATGGTGGGTGTGCATGTATTTTTATAAATTACCATACACTGTCCTTGTATTTTCATAAATTACCATATGACATTGATGAGTATGTATATGCACAAAACCAAGCATATTACCATTGTTTGTATTTGCATAAATCAGCAGAATTACATAAATTAGCATATAATGGTGTGTACAAATTTTCCTAAACTACCATATGATGGTATCAGCATCTCGGTTAAAACAACTTTTTATCCAATCATTTTCAATATTGGATATAAAAAATCAAATTATTGTCTAATTATTAGTTTTTTTTGTTGTTGTTTAATTATTGTAGGTTAGCAGCGTATGCAGAGTTAGGTCCAGCCATGCACCATCCGGCATTTTCGCATCCAGCGTTACACGCTCAGGTACAAGGCGACCCTCCAAAGCTAACGTATGTGGTGGTATGTCTGTCATTTGTACCCAAATTGTGCACTTATTTATTTCGTGATAAAATCTCACCACGGGCCATGACGCATCACTTAGTCAACAACCCATTTCTTATTCAATCTCATTCATATGCTTGGAGTACAGATTGCCATGACAACCATTTTGTGCTGCTCATTTTTAGATCAATCTACCAAAAAAAAAAAAAAATGGTATGAACCAAAATGTTGGGTTGCCATGGACACATAGTACTTTGAAATGCACATCAGCACATCACCTTGGAAACCGATTTATTCATGTAGTGTATAGTTGAGGAGACTGTAGCTTTCTGGATACTAAACTCACCCACTGGGAGCACAGCACTCACCCCCGGAAACAAGTGCACAGATATACCAATCACCCTTTATCACTGTACATGTGGGACAAACCATTACCCAGAATAGGGGTATATAATTTTTCGCCCTTCACCCCTTACTGTGAATGGTTTCTCCCACATGTGAACATATTGTAATGCTATTTATATAAATAAATGAACTGAATTCTGGGTAATTGCGTTTTTCGATGGGTATTGATTACCCTTCATGCAATTTCTTTATATTTGGTTTGACTTGCTTTTTCGTTAATTTCATCATTTTTCCCAGATTTCATTTTGTTTGATTTTTTTGTGAAATGTGATTATGCTGAAATGCATCACAACTACTGCAGCATACTTTGTTTTATCTGAAAATTTGTTTTGGATGATACACATTTTTATAAATTTAAAGGAAAAAAAAAAATTTCATTTTGCAAAATAGGTTCATGATTTAAATAAAATAAAGTTTGCTGCAGTTACAACAAGTTTTTTTTCATTAATCTAGGGGAGCTGATTCGAAAATATGCAAATTGCACACCTGGTATGATAAGAACCTCTAGGACTATTCGAATTTTTAACTTTGAACACATTTTTTTGAACTTTGCTACCATGGAATGTTTTTCACGAACACTAAGTTTAAAATTACTATTCACAAAAGAAAACTATTTATTCTTAACAGTTGGTCAATTTGCATATTAAGGGTCCTTTAACTATTTGGGGAAAAACTTATAAACCCCTTAACTACTTGATTCTATGGATCCTCACAGCAGCCACATATTTTTTCTTTCTTTTTTTTTCTCTTTACCTCCCGCTTCGCCACAGCCCTCCACTTCACACTATTTTCCCACCAGTAAGTTTTCGTGACTCGATGGCCATTCCAAGATAACACATCGCTTTCAGGTAGCCAATTAAACAACAGTTATTTTTCTCTCTCTTCATCATTAGAACCCGCTATCTTAATTGGAATCGGCACTGAGATCACACCTGCACATTTTGCATAGATACTGAAAATTGCATGACGCAAAAAAATAGAGAAAGCTGCGATTTTTTTTTTATGACAAAATAATTATTATCCATGAATGCATGATGCATAACAAATTAAAAAAAAAATTATCCAATTAAACGAAAATTAAAACACCTATTAAATTATGAATAATTTAAAGAAACTGAGTCATTAATAAATTTAATTTTAGCACCTCTCAAGAGATTAATGACCATTATTTACCTCAGCTGATTCTATGTATTGGGGGGGGGGGGTCGTCATCTGCGCTCGCGCGGGAATTGAGTCCCAAGCGATGATAACAACACACGTTTAAAATGCAAATGCTCATGGGTAGACGCTTGTTTGTCAACAATGACACGCTATGGCCATCTGACGCATGCATAGGTGACGACTCCCCCACTTTAATACTCAGCGTTCTTATTCATGTGCGTTACTAAACTAAGTATATTAGAGTATTACTCCCATAATGCACTTTTTTCAAAGACCTGATAAAAGAAAATATAAAATATAAAAGAAGCATCATCTCAATGAAAAAACATAAATCTTTGAAAAAGTGTTTACTTGTATTTATTCTGGCGATAAGATGCTTTAATAAAAAAATGTAAACATCAAACTGAGACTTTTTATTTTTTAAATGTCGACATTTATTCTACTAAAATTTTTTGAATTTTCAATTTATAAATGTATAACATTTTTCAATATGTATTTAATTGCAAAAAAAGATATATAACAATGCTCCAGGTTTATTTTGTGAATGGTGGCAAAAACTTTCACTTATTTAGGTTTGTTATTCTTTATTAATAATAGGAATAGCACCCTCATTATTCAAAATAATAAATTTCATTTCCTTCATCATGACAGTGACACAGCGCCCTCAATTGGTGAAAGTTGTAAATTGATAAATACCATAAAGATGAATATAAATTTCCCATTTATATCCATGGATTTTTCAGAGTAAATATATAGGGCTGGTGGTCAGAATTAATATTTTTTTTTTTTTTTTTTTTTTTTTTTTTGAGAAATGAAACAAAACAAAATGAATGTAGTCTGCTTTTAAATTACATCATCCTGGTATGATCATTGATGATTCTTGAAAATGTGTCAAGTCATGTGACCTGACATGGTAGAGGTCATGTGACATTATCAATTAAAAAATACTCATAAATGCAAATGCCATGGGATTCAAAAACTTGAAAATAGTACAGTAAAAAAAATAAATAAATAAATTAGTGTTGGTCTAAATATTGAAAGACATAATTTCCATCCTAGAAACATGCAAATCAGATTTAATATCACTATGGTAACATTTGCATATTTTTGATGAAAGGTAAAACAAAAATGAAACAAACGAAAACTATATAGTAAACTTCAGTTTGAGTTTTCTTCATTTTAATTCATTAATATTATTTTTTTAACTAAAAATGCACTAATGATTTGCATAAAAAAAGTGCAGGCTATTAATATGATATACTGCACTCTGTGATGTCACAACATAATTTAAGCTCTCTTTCATCGACACTGCATTCATCCCATGTGCCTTTCGCCCTCTATTAGGAGCAGACTTAATTCTTTTGTTTTTATGTTAATTATAATTTTATGGGCTGCAGCTGTTGTTTATCATGTGACAATGTACATATATAACAACGCTGAACCTTGCAGTCTTCACAACATCACCATGTCCCATCATGCACTTGTTTGATGATGTAATCAATATTGTGGCCTAAATAAAAATTTAAATTGAAATCACCAGAACCAATAGAATTGTGTCGACTTATTTAAGACCCAGACTTTGTGAAGAATTTTAGGCCCCCTAACTTTGTGAAGAATTTTAGACCCTCTAACTTTGTGAAGAATTTTAAATCTATTTCTGTTTGAAAAAGATGAGCCATGGACAACTAGGCCCCAAATAATTTTTTTTCAAAAATGTTTGAATATAAATTAATAAACAATGATTATGATTAGGAATTCCATTTTTGTTGTAATACCTTTTTTACATGTACATTGTTTTGGTCATTTTGTCATCGCTATGGTGATATTGTGAAGAAGACTCGGGCAGCACCTCACACTACTTTCATCTTTAAGCATGTTGTTAACAAAAAGAAATTCTTTGTTTGCCTTCCGCAGCCACATCCCGCCCACCCAGTCATTGCACCCTCTCACCCCCATGCACCCATACCACAACCGCCCTTACCAGCAAGTATTGCGAATGCAATGGCAGCCGTGACAGGAAGCAATGCCCCCTGCTCCACCCTTTTTGTCGCCAATCTGGGAACCCACACCACAGAAGAGGAACTCAGAGAACTTTTTGGCAGGTGAGTCAGTTTTTTGCTCTAAAAAAATTGGTGTTAAAGGGTGGTGGTCATCATTGTTGTTGCCATCATCCTTGCTGTTATCATCCTAGCTGTTGTTGTTTTTATTGTTGTTGTTGTCTTAATTGTTGTTGTCTTCATTGTTGTTGTTGTTGTTGTCTTCATTGTTGTTGTTGTCTTCATTGTTGTTGTTGTCTTCATTGTTGTTGTTGTCTTCATTGTTGTTGTTGTCTTCATTTTGTTGTTGTTGTCAGCGTTGTCATTCTCATCGTCCTTATTGTCATTGTTGTCATCCTTGTCGTCATCAATGTTGTCATTGTCATCCTCGTCATCATTGTTGTTGTTGCCATCATCGCCATTGTTGTTGTCGTTCTTGTCATCATTGTTGTTGTTGTTGCCCTCGTCGTCATTGTTGTCGTTCTCTTCGTCATTGTTGTCATTCTCTTCGTCATTGTTGAGTTTGTTCTCGTCATCATTGTTTTTGTTGTCCTCATCGTCATTGTTGTCATCGTTATTGTCATTGTTGTTTTCATCCTTGTCATTGTCATCTTCATCATTGTTGTCATCTTTGTCATTATTGTTGTCGCCATCGTTGTTGTCATTGTCATCATCCTTGTCATGAGGTGTGCATTTAAATTTCTAGATTTCAAACTGTACAATTACTATGAACATAGTAGTTTTGTGATAAACACCTGAAAATCTTGTCAAATAATTAATGCTATTGTCAAAATTGTTGGAAGTTAAATCAATTTTGAAAAATACAATTCACAGACAGTTCGGCATAATTTATTTTGTCTTTCTTTTCTATCTCCTAGGATACCAGGTTTCAGTAGATTACGATTGCACAACAAGGGTGGAGCCCCATGCTGCTTTGTAGAGTTTCAAGTAAGTATGCTCATTACATGGCCCAGTTTAAGTATGCTCATTACATGGCCCAGTTTAAGTATGCTCATTACATGGCCCAGTTTAAGTACTCATTACATGGCCCAGTTTAAGTATGCTCATTACATGGCCCAGTTTAAGTATGCTCATTACATGGCCCTGTTTAAATATACTGGAGATTTGCCCATTTCGTTTAAGATCAGGACAAATGACATCATTTGTATCAACCAGCACTACAAGTGTTTTCGTATGATAATCTCACATTTGTCTCAGCTGTATCTCCTATTTTATGAGATGGTAAGATTGGGATTGAACTGTACTAAAGTAAATTACATTGGAAATGCAGCATAACACATCAAAGTTGTAGCATCACACATCAAAGTCACAGCATCACACATCAAAGTAACAGCATCACACATCAAAGTCGCAGCATCACACATCAAAGTTGCAGCATCACACATCAAAGTTGCTGCATCACACATCAAAGTTGCAGCGTCACACATCAAAGTTGCTGCATCACACATCAAAGTTGCAGCGTCACACATCAACGTTGCAGCATCACACATCAAAGTCGCAGCATCACACATCAGAGTCGCAGCATCACACATCAGAGTCACAGCATCACACATCAGAGTCGCAGCATCACACATCAGAGTCGCAGCATCACACATCAGAGTCGCAGCATCACACATCAGAGTCGCAGCATCACACATCAGAGTCGCAGCATCACACATCAGAGTCGCAGCATCACACATCAAAGTTGATGTCATAAAGTAATTTTGTCTTTTTGCCTCCTTCCTGTAGAATGTTGTATTTGCATCACAAGCACTAAATCAAATGCAGGGTCAGGTGATGTTTTCCAGTGATCGCGGTGGACTTCGTATTGAATTTGCCAAGAATAAAATGGGCGAGGTGAGTTGATGAACTTTGTACCATGTGAGGGACGCTGTTGCCAGAAGTCAGTGAGGGCACAGTTGCTTGTAGTCAGTTTTGCTGGTTCCCATCATCCCTTGCGAATGGCAAGTAGAAAACAGGTACCTAGTGATTGACATAAAGTTTCAATGGGCCAGGATTTCAGCCTGACATAATCTGAAAATATTCTAATATTCGTTTTTCGTAAATAAGTTTTCATTACTGCAATAACATTATGGCCATACATTCTGCCCGCTTAAACTTCATATTTAAGATATGTCTGGCATTTCTCTCTGTTTCTGCGCAAATTGATAACAAAAGAAACATTTTTTGTTATTCACCTGACTTTCATGAACATGAGCGTAGGGAATGAGCATAGGCACTGACATCAGGTAACCACGGGAAATAGAACAAACAAGAAAGTCATGGGCCAATCATAATGCTGGAACCATTACTAGTTACCTGCCTTTTGAGGCTTGGTGTGTCATGAGACTTGAGGCGGGAACCAGCGAAGTAGTCTGTGAGGGCGCTGTAGCCATCAATCTGTGAGGGTACTGTCATTTGGATGAACAATATTCTTTATGGAGTTGTCATTTTGCAGACATTTTGCACCGTATTTCCTTAAATCTTGTTCAGTTATTTAAATCATGTCCAGCTCTTTACAGAAAATCGAATTTATTCTTCTTCTTTTCACAGCCCCAAACTCGACCTGGTGAAAACAACATGGCTGCTGTTGTTGTTGCCGCTCATTAGTTGCAGTGATCACTGGATTTGACATGACATGACCCTCTACCCTTTGAACTCTGACCACCCGGAGCACATCATACCACAACCTCAAGATATTTACCAATGAGGCCATATCCTTAACCTTTCAACTCTGACCTAGATGTCATTACTATGGTGACAATGTCTCTAAGTTAGACTAGTCATGAGTTGTGTCACTATTGTGTAACATGACAGTGATAGACAAATTTTATAGGTCAATATTTTCTTTTGTCTCATTTTGTTACAAAGTGTGTTTCTTTCGTGAAAAAACGCAGGGTCTTTTGTTATTTTAATTGTAGGTCACTTATTTTTTCTGAAATGTGGCATGAAAAGCTCATAACTTAAATAAGTATAGCTGAATTTTAAAATGTTTTCTCCTTACTGTCTGTAACCCTTTGAGTGCTACAATCTTTGGCAGCAAAATGTCAGTGCAACACTTTGCCTGTTGGTAAATTCAAATGTTTTGATAATTTTGATTCAAATGAGCATAAGTTCATTATGGCTACCGGTATATGTTTTGATCAAAATTTTGGAAAATTCAAATTTTTTGGATAATTTTGATTCAAATGAGCATAAGTTCATTATGGCTATATGTTTTGATCAAAATTTTGGAAAATTCAAATTTTTGGGATAATTTCGATTCGAATGAGTATAAGATCATTATGGCTATATTTTGTGATCAAAATTTTGGAAAATTCAAATTTTTTGGATAATTTTGATTCAAATGAGCATAAGTTCATTATGGCTATATGTTTTGATCAAAATTTTGG